GAACAAACAGGCAGTAAAAACCAACAGGAGCCTCCTGTCTGTCTCCAGGTCTGGTCTTTACATCAGGGTGACGGTACAGTGAGCAGCATCACAGGGAATTCATTTAAAATACTTTTAAATGTGTCTGCTGCCCACAGATTGCAAGAAATCCATCTTCAGGCACCTGTAAGCAAAGCCAGATGGGCTGGACTGCTTTGTCTTCTGGCTCTTGTGGAACAGAAATGGTCCACAATGGTGGGGGCAGGGGCTCCCATTAACAGTGGAGGCCGCAGGGTTCTCTGGAAATTCAGAAGAAGAAGGGGAGTGTCATTTCACTGAAATGGTTTTGTTTGGCTCAGTGGCTGCGTGAGCTGCAAAACCAGTTTGTTTCTCATCTCTCATGTGTGTCTGAAGGGCGCATGACTGCGTGTGAGTCCACTGGAGGACGGAGGCAGTGTGCGTGGGAAGAGTCTTACCTTTGTACTAGTACATCTTCATTTCTTAATGTGTTCTACATACACGAGGTTGAACCAAAATCACAGGAAGTGGCTAATGATGCATGTCTGAAATTATAGTTTGTCTTCATGGTGGCTCCAAGAAAAACCTTTTAGCTTTACTGATGTGATTACAGAAAAACACAACTTGTCCTGTTCAAATATATAAAGTCAGCATATTTGATGTTGATCTAATTTGACTTCAATCTTTGGTTTGTCTTTAATTCAGACTTCAGGCTGTCAGTCTTACATAACTGCCTTCTGGAGAAAAGACCAGTGCAACCTGTTCATGAAGTATCTTGGTAAAAGTCATGTCATAGGCTGTAGCAGTTAACACCTCGAATCTTTAGTGTGTAGGTGTGTTCCAATGGATTTGTTGTTTCAAATGTGAGGATTTTTTAGTCACTGATCATGTCCAGTAATATCCAAATTATCTATCTGATTCACAATCAAAAGTCATGAGATGCTGAGCTACCTTTCACCAGAGAAGAGCTGCTAAACATCAAGGTCAAAGGTCAAAGTGTTTATTTGTCATATGCACAGTTAGGAAACGTGTTTCTCTGTACAATGAAATTCCTACTTTGCCGTCCACAATGAATGCCACAAAATACTAATGAAATATAAATAAATAACACAAAATCTAAGGCACTTTAAGCAGCAAATGCAGCAATATAATAAAAATATATAAGAATATAATAAGAGAATGTATGCTGCATGGC